ACATAATCGGTCCAACTGATCTTCTCCATCCTTCTCCAACACCACATTTCGAAACCTTCCAGATGTTTCTGATCTACTGCCCTAAGTGTCCATGTTTCAGCCCCATACAGAGCTATGCTCCAAATGTAGCATTTCACTAGTTTCTTCCTCAAATTTAAGTCCAATTTGCTGGTAAAAAGATTTATTAAACTTAAAATAAATGCGAGATGTAACCATCATCTGCATGTGTCTTCGACACGTGAAAGCGAAATACGTGTATATCATATCCAAGGACATGATTTCTTGCACAAAACTCATTTAAATTAAATTACTCTGACCCAGCAGTTTAACTTAACACACTCTAAAAAATTTTTAAATTCGATGAATAAACATCTCTGAAATTGTTTCCCAAAAGCTTACATTCAAAAACTGGAAGCGCCTTTAATTCGAGGGCGTCTTATGTTCGAAGTAATGTGTAATAATTAATAATAATTATAACATGTTATAAAAATGATCAAGGAGAACGTTCTTGGCTCCGAATATGTCAGCGGCCCTGCAGACAACATTAGCAGATGATGCACATCTAACAGAGGGACAATTTTTACATAAGGGGCAGATAGTGAAAGAAGCAAAGTGTCTGATATCCCCATCAGGAACTCTGAGACCAACAATTCCCAAAACAGAAAGACCTAATTTAGAACCAAGTTAAATTTGAATAAGAAAGAGTGAACTGAGTCGATTCCTTATCATACATAAAGTGCGCAATTTTAATTTCTCCAAAACAAGAGAATAACAGAAATGGACTTTAGGAAATGAACGAATAAAACTGAGGGCTGTAAACCTCTGCTGGATGCGTTCCAGCTTGTTGGCATCAGTTGACGTAATTGAATTCCAAACAACGGACGCATATTCAAGTTTAGATCTAACTAACGTAATATACAATCTGTGCATGCATTCGAGAGGTGAGAAAGTGAAAATAATGCTACGAACTAGACTCAAGGGCTTAACGCAATGAGAAAAAAATAGTTGACGTGGGTAAGAAAATAAAGTTTAATATCAATAAATATACCCCGTTCTTTAATCGAGTCGGTCAGGATTACGGATGATTGGCAAAGTTTATACCTGCAGGACGATTGAACGGTAAGCCTCCAGATTTGTATTCATACGGTGCTCGGTTCGAATCTCAGTTGAGGCAACGAATGTACTAATTGAGGGATTCCTGTGCGCTTACTCAGTTACTCCAAGCAATTGACGAGATAGTATGTCTATTATGTCACGACAACTCATTTCCAAATCTTTTCCAATTTTTCATACGTCAGCCATCCTACCACATGCGGGTGCATAATTCAGATACTGACAGAGACACAAAGTAAACTGCAAATCACTGATTAGCGAATGCATCTAAGATATGTGGACACAAAATATCTGAACAAATGTATAAGTGTTACGTATTCTTATACTAACATAAAGTAAAAGTAAGTAAAGGTATCCCTGTAACAGGCCGTGGAGGCCCATAGGGTTGTGAGATGTTGAGGTTTCCACATTTTCTAAACAATCGGCTCATAGATGGCGGTAAGGTTGTCAGCCTTACGCGCCGGCCGCCCTTTACCCCCAAGACCGAAGAATATTCCTGGTACTCATTTCTGTTAGAGGCTGAGTCGACCCCAGGGCCTTAGTGCGACTGGGAGGATTAGGTCAATTGAAAAAAATCCAATAACCTCATTGGGATTCGATCCCACGACCTTCCGGCTTGTAGCATAGTGCCTTAACCCTAATTTAATTACCTAACCTAACCAAGCTCAAAGTAGCAAGGTAAACAGTCCCTAACTAAAACATTTTAAACCAAACAAAGTAGTAGATGTAAGAGACAAGGACAAGATTATCGCAGAAATACATATGCAGCAGGAATGGATGCTTAAGGACAGCACTTTAATGTCACGTATTACCTCTGCAGATGCCTTGAAGTCGAGGATCTCTGCTTGATACTGGCCTGCTCAGCTTACCCTCCGACCCTCGAAATAGAGTCAGTACGTTCTTCCGAAACGTCAGCAGACTTCTGTTAGACTACAAGACCGAAATTCGAACTGACCACCTATCGAATGCAAGTCTAGAGCCTTACCTCTAGACTGATGTGTTAAGTGGAGCAGCGTCATACATATATTTTGTGGTATGTAGGCCCGTTATTAGGCAACGACAGAGTAATAAAGAACAAAAAATAGCCACTGCTAAGTAATGGCTCTGTAAACAACAGCCGTTGATAGGCAATGGCCGCAACAGACACGCAAGCAACAAGAGAAGAGCTGTTGGATGTAGTATTCTCTGTTCGGTCCGGCCGAGTCTATACATATAACGATGGCTAGCAGCCATTAGAGGAGAGTCTTGAGACGGAAGTTAGAGGAGTAGGAGGTTATTGTGAGATGGCCGCCAGCCTGCGAGGACGAGAGCCCAGGAGCAGGGGAGCGTCCACTGGTGCAGCAGCAGCAGCAGACTGCGGACAATTAGTAAGTGCTGTAGTGAACTGCAGAGTGTGTGAATTAGCGATAGCGCTATAGTTGCTTGTAGCTACAATCTGTAAGTGTTCAATAAATCCAATCAACAATCCAAATCCGTCTATAGTCACTCAATCACGTGACTACACAATAAATGTGTCTGATAATTTTTAATGCCGTTTTCCAACTTGTAGACCTCTTGGTACAGTGGTTTAAATCCTTTACTGGATTTACAATCTTACTTTATCTACCCATAGAGCTACATAATCTGAATACAGTTCTAATTCCCACGCATCTGTTTTGTTTTCAGAACTCTTATGCCTGGGATACTTCAAACCATGACAACTGACTGATGCTGTTCAGTCGGTCTGAGCGGGATTAGCACTTCGTCGATTGTCATTGCATTCACGACGTTACATATACTTTATTGATATAGGCCAATTGTGACTTAAGCATTTTGATATTTTTATTTAGTAAGTCTCTTAAACCACACGATTTTATGCATGTTTTAGTGTATATCAGCCAACAACTTTTATATTAGGCAACTAGACCTTTCATTCTTTGGAAACTTTGAGAGAACAACATTAAGAAATTGCAAATTTGAAATTCTGGCCCAAAAGCTAAACTTTGATGGTGTATGATGCAAATTAATATTTCTCAATATTCCTTGACTTTAAAACTTGGATACGCGGGGACTGGAAAATTGTCACTATATCATCACTTGTTCCAGTGGAATACAAAATGGTTTTTGTACCTTGAGAATCTGGTCACGAAATAACTGACAAATGACAGCCCGTTAAATTACAAGGATCACGTAGCAGTTCTGTAAGTCTGTAAAGATTTGACTACATATGCATTCTTAAATATAATAACCAATATTAGAGCATGTATGTGGTTGGTTTATGACAGAGATCTTCAACCGTTACACCTCTGATCACACAGAGAGGAAGTATAAGTCCATTATGTAACTGTTCGCAGTTCAACGGGAGTAAGTAAAAATGTCGGCCATTATTGGCCATCACCAGGAAGCACAGCCAACACTGTAAACAATTACTTTACAATCAATATTGTTGCAAATTGGTCATAACTATATTATCACAAAGGGACTGTAGTAAAATTAAGAATAAATAGTTATCACATGTATGGAGTGTTACTATAGACGGGTTCTGGAGTGATGACTCTATTTACTGGACTCTTTGATACAGTGCGTGACTGCACTTTACAGTTCATTATTACCCGCCTCCACGCGAGGACTAATTGCAATTGCTAACTTGTCCTGGTTATAACACCTCGGCAACGAAAGCATAGAAAATGTATCTGCCAGTATTGCTGTATTCTTTCGCTGCCGTGAAAACAAGCGTGTTTGCGGAGCCACTACTTAGTAAAGGCTGTTGTATAGCTCCTTGTTGCGGAGACGTTGCCCAGCAACGGGTCTACATGCCACAATATATATAATAATTTTGTATATCAAGAGTTAATTTTTAAAATAATTTTAAAAAATTTCATGAGTAGGCAGAAGAATGTGTACTGAATGAATATACTACGTGATAAAACAGAAGGCTGTCACTACTAACAACATAAAAGTCTATAAAATATTCTTCGTAACCAATAATATGAGGTCGTCAGTACATTATTTTATCTACTCAAAAAAAATCTAAATTTAGTTTAACTGAATTTAAGCAATTGCTCTTAATAAACAAAACTTATTTAAAATGTATTAACTATTTAGTCTAAACTCTTACAACTATTATGAGTACCTTTATCATAATGCAATAACAGCCTACATACCAACGGAATAATATTGTCATTTATTAAGGAGTTAGCGTGACTTAATAGGCGGATTTTGGATTTGACGATAGAATTAATTGAACCTTTATACAATTTTTTACAACATTTCACAAATCACTACCTTCGACTGGACACACTCTACTTCTAATCCACTACTCTCTTTGTAGTACCAGTTAAAGTCACATTGTGACGGACGGTCAGTCAGTCAGTAAATCTTGGTGTCGAGCTCCATCTGGGGCTCATGACCACATATTTATTACTGTTTGACAGTTACGGTCCTGTTTTTCGTGGGGCGCCCTCTCTGACGCGAGGACGGATCTGTCATTTGTACATGCTGCTGGTCCTTGCCAGCGCAGTCTTTCTCGGGCCAAGTCCCTTGGGTCTCGCTACCATATTTTACTGTCTCAAGTTTGAGACATCCCCTTTCGTCGCCTTCTACGATTCAGAGGTTCACGGTTGCGGTATTCGACCACGCCACCACACGGCTGTGAACTACCAGTTATTGTTGGCTTCTGGACCCACAGAAAACATCCATTGCCTAGCAATGGAGTCTACTATTGTTGGTGTTTATCGAGTCGTTGACTAGCAATAGGCCTGTACGTCACAGTATGTAAAGTATTTCTTTATAGCGTTGACTTTGTCTCTTGATGATGGCCAGTAATGGTCGAAACATATAATGGCAAAACTTGTATTTACTTCTGTTAAATTAGTTATAATTGATGGACTTACAGTAGTTATTTATGTAATGGCGCTGGTTCTGGTAGGAAAACCTGGAAGGAAGACACCGTCAAGAAGGCCTAAACGTACATGAGAGGATAATATTAAAGAGTAACTTAGTGAAATACACTTAGGTTGGGATTGTGAACTTGATTTATGTGACTCAGGAGAGGGATTAATGAGAGCTACTTGCGATTACGGTAATGAAACTTCATTTTCTATAAAGAGTGAATTTCTTGAGTGGCAGAGCAACTGCTGACTTCTCAAGAAGGACTAAGCCTCATAGAATTAATTATACAGCCAGTTGGTCAGTCAGTATCTAGATTTAGTAGCATCGTATTAATGAGAGTGGATCATTTGGTGTGAAGATGATTCAGAATGCAATTAATAAAGTTGGAATCGTGAATGTTAATAAAATTAATCCGATATGTGTATATGATGTTAAAAATGCTGAAATGCCTTTGTCTTGACAAGTGCTGCTAACAGCGTTCCTTGCGTAACTAACATAGTTCCGAGATCGATAAATATCGACTGCACGAAACAGGCATAGGTTTTTTCTTTNGTGGGGGAATGTAATGCCGTGTTTAGGCAAGCGGAGTTTGCTGCCTGCTTCGCTCTGGTTTCTTGCTTGACTTACATTTCGACATGAAAGTGGAGGTGATGTTTTCCTCCGAAAAGTCGGCTGACACTTTAAGGAAAGGCGTTATGACCCAGAAGATAGAATTCTTCATAACCACCGCTGTGAGAATCTCAGGTCCTCAGTGGAAATTTTTACGTAAATTTTGTTATATCGGGATTCAGGACGTGCCGTTTTACCGACAGTATTATAATATTTATCNTATCTTAAAAACCAGGACGATGGATAAAGTCCCAAATCCCAACATATCATTGTGTTATACACCATCGTCAGAATCTTATAGTAACTAATATTTATCTTGAAGAATAAAATGTGAAAGGAAAGTAACAAAGGAGACATAGTTACCGGTTGAGAAATATACAGTATGATATATGGAATCATGGGGGGGGGCACTATATTAGAAGCCGGAAGGTCGCTGGTTCGATTCCCGATGAGGTCATTGGATTTTTTTAATTGATGTAATCCTTCCAGCCGCACAGTGGCCCTGGGATCAATTCAGCCTCTAAAAGAAATTTTCGCGGGGTTAAAGTGCGGCTGGCGCGTAAGGCTGAAAACCTCACCTCCATCTGTGAGCCGATTGTCTAGAAAATGTGGGACCCTGGACATCTCACAACTCTGTCGGGATTCCACGGCCTTCTAGTGGGATTTCTTTTTTGTGTGGAAATATAAGAAAAGCATGAGGTAAAAAATAAGGCGCACACGAAACGAAAATATAGATTGATGTAAGAGTGCAGATATAGAAGGGCAAAAGAGAACAATAATAGATGAACTAATATGAGGACAAAGCTCAAGATGCAAAGTTGTCTTTGAGCTTAATCACTATGCAAATAAGACTTGTAGATTTTTGGTGAGCAATGAGAATGCTTCACATATTTTCAAACGCTTCACATATTTTCAAACTTGGCAGCAGACGAATCTTAATGATCCTATATAATTTTTACCGTCAACGCAAGAATACTTTATTATTTTGTTTATATAGCACGCACTACATATTTCAGCCTCAAATCTGACATCTTCAGGTGCTGCAAGTTTCTCTCATACTCTTACAATGTGAGAAACTTGCAGCCACTGAAGATGATCCATTCGAGGTCGAAACATGTGCGTGCTATATAAATAAATAAATAAATAACTAATAAAGTATTGCTGTGTTGACGGTAAAATTATATATGTTCATTGTATATACGCAACAGGATACAATCCTTAAAAATGGATGACTCTTAGTTAGTTGCCTGTATTATCAGTCGGTTACAGTGCCTGGGAAACTGCTCCTAGAAACCATCTATCCCCAGAATGTAGCTGGGCCCCGGATCTGGTCTGGATGCGGAGGCAAAAAGACTACTCTCTTCTCCTACGGAGATCAAACCGCGGTCCTCCAGATGATAGCTAGTACTTTACTGAGCTGTCGCAGCTGATGTATTTGTAAATATGCAATCGTTACTGCTCCAACGAATGACTGCTGGTTATTGAATGACGCTGTTTACATTGCATAAAATATTGTTACATGCGCACACACTGCTAGGCAACATTTGGTAAACAAGTTCCCGCGATGACAGATTTTTGGCAAACAGACCGTTGCTAAGTTACGCAACATTAGATAAGGTTGTGTTTTCTATGCGGTCTGCTCGAAACACCAGTAGAATAACGGGGTTATGCAATCCGTTTATAAGGAACAGAACGGTAAACACATTTTCGCATATCGGACCATGCTATATAGGCGGTGACGTCATCAACAATAGAGACGTTTTTTTCCATGGGGTCTGTGCAGACTGCTCTTAAGAGAAGCGACTGACAGAATTCGTTCAGGGCAGTTACGAATCAGTCGTAAGCTGAAGGAGTGAGTCCAGGAGAATTTTTAGTTCCGAGGTTCCAGAGTGTTTGAAGACGAAACAGCAAGATGACGTAGTAGTGATTTGAAATGCTAGTTTCTGTGTTGAGATCCATTGCCAGGAGACTTACTAGTGAAGACGGAGAACCCTAGCGCGTGTGCAACGATGAACTGGAAATGTGTAAATCAGCGATAGCGCTGTGTTAAAGTGTGATTAAGAGAACTTGTAAACAAGATGCTAATAAATCCAATCATCCGAACAAGAACCCGTTATTTTCGTCACGCGTACCAACCTACGCGAGACAGTACGTTTGGAAGTTTGTGGGAAAGTGGCCTATAACAAGGTATTGTCCCGTCATTCAACTGAAGGAACATCATGAAAACCTCGTATAATGAAAGCTAGTAACATGGCCTTAATTCTATCATGTCGCACTCCAAATTGAAGTCTTAGAGCCGATTCTAGAGAGTTCTGACAGTGGTGTATAACACGAATTTCTGAATTCGGTATTATAAAGAACAGAGTCTTTTGGAAACTGGATGCAATTTCTGAAATGCTATATTTTTAGAACACCAATTGATGAACAAAGTAAATAAACGTAGTAATCCCGAGTGTCAAGCTTAGAGCATTACTGATTTACTAGCCTGAAAAATATTACTTCCAGTGTGGAGATAGTGCAGGCATTTTGCTTTATTTCGTAGAAGAAATTATACTAAACCGCCTGACCGACATGCCGTTACAGTACAGTAAGAAGAAAACAGAAACTGCGAAGTTTGAAAGTTTCTAAGGCAACTCAGGAGCCTCGTCCCAGATGTGCCAGACGACTTCCTCCGCAGAAACTGGTCGCACAGCTTTTCGTGAGGCCAGACGGGCAGAAGGATTGCCGCACCTGGGCACGTGCTTGCCAATCCTGCCAGTGCTCCGATATCTCCCGCCACACATGCTTAGGAAAAGCGGTAAGAGAGGAAAAGGAGAAAGTATTCATTTATTTAATTAATTAAGCCTACTCATATGCAAGCCGGTCACAGTGGCCGCGCGGTCTAAGGCATGAACGGTCTTTGCTAGCTCGAACACTGGGGTCGTGGGTTAGAATCCTACTCGAGGCATGGATATCTCTGTGCTTTTATTCTATGTTTGTGTAGGTAGCGGCCTTGCGAAGGGCTGATCCCCGTTCAAGGAATCCTGTCGAATGTCTTAGGGTTAAGAAACTGAAGAGAAACAAAGCGTTTCACTGATGCCCTGTGCTTCAAAGAGGGAGCAACAGGAGAGAGAGAGTGACTAAAATGAGACGAAATGATGAAATTATTCCTTTATTTCATTAACTGAGCAGCACGCCACGAAGATGTGTGTGTGGGAGTGGAGGTATAGCTCCATCATCTGGTTACCAATTCTCGTATCACATCGTTAAATGCTTTAATACAAAACTTAAGTACCGCAGGTGAACAAGAGGCTTGTTTATTATGTAACGGAACACACAGTCCAAGGCCTTGCTATGAAAGTTCGCGTGTTGTGCTGTTGTTCTGATATGAATGAATGCTTCGTCACAGGAAGTAAATAACAAACGAGTAAAAAGTACGTTTGTCTCTAAAAGATATGATTTGCTTCTCTGTTGAAAAGAGTATATAAATGAACTGGGTACTTAACTGCTAAAACCATTATCCCCACAGCATTATCTGTACAGCAATAGATGCTACGCAGGAGGTAAGGTTAGGGTAAGGTAAGGCAAGGCTATCCATGTAACATGCCGTGGAGGCCTATAGGATTCTGAGACGTCGAGGCTTCCACATTTTCTAGACAATCGACTGATAGATGACTGTGATATTGTCAGCCTTGAGCGCCGACTGCGTTTTACTCTCCAGGAAGATTCCTGTTTCTCATTTCTGTTTGAGGCTGAGTGGACCCCAGGGCCATAGTGCGGCTGGAAGGGTTAGGTGAATTGAAAAATCCAATGACATCGGAATTCGAAACCGCGACCTTCCGGCTTGTACCAACTACGCTACCGCGTGCTAAATATTTTAATGGGCGTTCTCTTACTTGAGTTCGATATCCAGTACAAACCAGCTCTGTACACGAGCTGATAACATTTAAAAGATGTGAATGAATTATATAAAATTAAATGTTATTAAATGTTCGTTGGACCTTGGCCGCTTTTTCAGTTTCTTAATCCTATACACAGTTGGTAGGTCTCCTTGGATGGGGGATCAGCCCGTCATAAGGCCGCTACCTACACACATAACAACACAAACACAGAATAAACACACAGACATCCATGTCTTGAGTGGGATTCGAACCCACGATCCCAACGATCAAGGGAGCGAAGACAGTTCGTGACAGACCGCGCGGTCACTGTGCTCAGCGACAAGTAACAACACAATGTTTCAATTTTGCATAATTATGGGAGTTCCTACACTTTTACGCATAAGTAGACTTGGGGTTAAGAAGCGATGATAGTGAAATCGAAGATGCGGGACTGAAATATTGAAGAGGCATGTGATATTTTTTCAGCGAGAGAGCTGTGTTCTAAAGACGCTAATATTCGCTCAGTGAAGAAGTTCACGTGTTTAAGAGGCGGCTGTCTTCATGTATTATCTGCCTATCATATTCAGAAGTATACTAATATCGAATTATTAATTAGAATTGCCAACTTATCTACTGTCGTGAACTACGTACATATGTAAAATAATGCTGCAATTAAGAAGTTTTATGTAGGCTTGTATGTTGCGGCGTGACGGGGGGCGTGGAGGTACCTCTCTCGCTGCCGCTACACTTATCTCCTGCCGTGATGACGGAGGACGAGGAAATATCCCTCTCCGTCACCCTGTTTAGTAGGCTGCCACCATCTTGTTATTTCAAGAAATCTCGTATTTATCTTAGCTTGCATTACTGTCTGGGGTAAACCGTAAATCGCCGAAGCTTTGGGAAGTCCTGGAGTCGGAGGAAGAGGATAACACTCGTGGATACGTGAGGTTGAATGAAACTCGTCACATTCCTAGCCTATTCTATTACCTACGTCTTTAAATACACTATATACACCGTGCCGACGTTTGTCGGTTCGACTTACATTAAAATAATCTTGCAGTGTCTCATCATGTCCACCACCTATCACCCTGCTGTTGGTATTCTATGCTTGGAATCACTGAATGACCTAGCCCATCTGATTAGCCTATCTCTCCCGGGTTACACTTTACACTTTACACTTAATGATCATGGCTATATGAAATGGTTCCACTTACGTGAGCTGAAGAGGAGAAGGCTTGTCATCACGATCCAGCGTCCACTCATGGCCACAATTGAGGTACTAATGTAATAATGACATTAATAAGAATAGATCCGACTAGAATCGAATCGAATAGCCAAAAAAAGCTAAGAAGCTAAAAAGCTAAAAAGAGCCCCTAAAATGGGTCGTCTCGGGTTTTTATAACCTCTGCTATGCTGACTCGTTGTCTTCCGGGTATAGGGGTCCTCCTACCCTGACGTGATTTTGGGTCGGTGTAGCTTGATTATTGGTTGTCAATCGAGAAGGGGTTGACTCTTTTGGTAAGCCGCCTCCTCCTACTCAGCATTTTTCGTCTGCCTTAGTGCTTATGACACCTTTCTTATAGCCCTTCCGTATTGTCAGCGGTTCCCGCTGTCGTGTTAACATTCTGATTAGTCAGGAATTTCTTTTACTTCCTTGTAACCCCAGCTCTCCGGTTCATGTCCTTATTACTATGCAGTTTTAGTTTAGTTTTTTGTGTTTTTTCCATCTTACATCTAATTGTAGTGATTCCAAATTTACCCAAAAACTACTTCTACATGTACGTAACCCTTTGCTGCATTACATTGTAATTTAATGTTCATGTAGTGTGAACATTTTAGTGCCTTATATACGTATTTAAACCATTCTGAAAATGGAATAATTTCATCCGAGGCATCTAGGATTAATTTCATATTTAAATACAGACATTAAAATACATCTCATTCGATAGGCTTATCAAAAAGTAAGGAAAAAGGTAAAATTGTCCCTGTGCTTAACTAATTAAGCACTACGCCGTGAAGGCATATGTGAGAGTGTACGTATAGATTCACGTTTTCATGACCTCAGCACTAGTTCGAGGTGAGTGGTCAGCTTCACGCCCCGGCTACTTTACTCCCGGAGAAAGAGACCCAGGTACCCCTTTCGATAGGAGGCTGGGTGGTCCTCAGAGCTGGTCTGGACGCCACGAAGAAGAGCCAAATCTTAACCTTAGTGGGACTCGAATACCTGACCCTCGGTTGTCCAGCCCGTAGCCAATCCCTATACCGACTGCGCTATACGGGCTCCCAGTCTTATCAAAATGATACATTAATGTTTGTTATATATAAATGATCGCATCTACGGCCTATAGTTGGAATTCGAAATTTCATAGTTGTATTTATAAGAATCTGCTACTGGTCTGTATCCCGAGTGCAATGAAACAAATTGTTAGTCTATATATATGAGATCAATTTTAATACAATCCTTCCAGTAGAACTGACAAAAGTAAATATATAATGTGGGAACTTGTAAAATTCTATTAACGCAAAGATAAACAGAAATATTGAAGAGTGCTATTTTCTGGGGTCTGAAGCCATTAAATAAGGTGCAAATTTACCGAAATTTCAGAGGGACTCACTGCCCCCACTTTAACGGTCGAAGAGAAAACCAATCAAGGAACAGCAAACTTGCTTGGTTTACTCTTCATTCCTATAGCTGGAAGTAGAATGTTCCTAAGATAACATCGGTAAACTTCTACCAGGTTACAGGTTGCTGTATCCAAGACTGTGATACACTTCGTGCTTACCGCCATGAGAACTTCGAACCTGAACACGTTCTGCGCTCTTGATCAACATACTCGAGAAAATTTACTGCAAGTATTGTATTGTATTGTATTGTATTGGAGCGGGTGGGTTTCCCCATGCACTTAGACCAACTGTTGGTCCATTGTGTGTCCCCCTATGATATTCTATCAGTCTCTATTCCCTACCGGTACTGGTGCGTGCCATCAGTCCCGACTCAGCCATCGAGTTCGGCCTCTACTGGCTCAGCGGTATCTCGATGCTTCCCCCATCTACCAGAGGCGTTAGAGACTACTGTTGGGCGGGAAACGTCCGCAATTTTGGCTCAGTGACCTCCTTTGGAGGTATGAGGTTCTTTTACGTGCCGTAAAGCTACGACACGGGATCCACGGCTTAAAGTTCCTCCCGGAGGACTTGTTCCCTGAATTTTTCCGCCCTTAAAAATTCGACGACCTCCGCCGGGTTTGAACCCGCGTACCTTGAGTCACGAGGTGGGAACGTTACCCCTAGACTATGGAGGCCGCAAGTAAGGCACATAGATCATATGGAGACCATACGAGGAAGACCATAGGCAGATAAGGATTTCTACAAATTTAATTTATTTTCAATCTGTGACTTCTAAAGAGTTCTGACGACGGTGTATAACACTCAGAATTACTGGTATTTCGGGCTTTGTCCATCGTCCGGTGTTCTAAAACCTAGAGAACACAAAGTTTCGCAAACTGGATCTAAGTCCAAATTCGAAACAAAGTCCAAAAAAAAAAACCCAACAATTCTGACTCCGTGACTTATTTATTTGAAACGAATAAAGTGTCTTTATCTACTAGTGTATAATACGATAAGATAACATAGCTTAATAGGAAGATAATATCTGCGATTGTCTTCTCTAGGTAGCCTGCTTAGCGAAATATGTTTACGAATGATTGTAACAGAGAAGTAGATGTGGTGCAGTGAAGATGTCGAAGAAGGGCAAATCTAATTCTTCGTCTGGAGCTCATGCACCCGATGAGAGGAACATAGAATATAACGAGGGAAAACTTCATGATGTAATAAGCAGTTTGCGTGATCTAGTTTCAGGTGAGGTCGATATTATCTTATATCATATTGTCACGTATAAGGGGTAGTGTGACTGATATTAATGGGTTGTAGATTTGATGACTGGATTTATTGGACGCCTCTATTAAAATTACACTTGATTATAACGGCTCACACAATCAATGTCTGTCTACGACTCGCTCCATTCCTTACTGGACCACGAGCGTCTGCTCTTCCGCTTTGACGAACGGCGAACGAAGAATTCCAGCTCACATCTTGAACTTCCTTGAACGACGTCTGTCTGTTGAATCTGTCACTGTTGTCTGAATCTCGGACAGGTCTCTAGTCTCTCGAATTCTGGATATCTCTTCTTCACTCACTCCTGTGAGTCGAGTCTTGTGATACGACCGACTGCCCGTCGGCCAGTCTATCTTGGAATAAAGCACCCCCCTTGGGCTTAAGACCAGATTTTTATTACTGTAAGACAGTTACGGGTTTGTTGATTTGGGGCGCTCTCTCTGACGATTGGACTAGTCTGTCGTATACAATTGCTGCTGGTCCTCGCCAGCGCAGTCATTTTCGGGTCCGAGTCTCTTGGGACTCGCAACCATATTTTACTGTCTCAGATTCGTTGCCGCGCTACCTTATTATATAACCATGGCACGGACACCATAAAAACACCGCGTTGCCTAGCAGTGGTTCAATAGTTCCTCTATTGTTGCATGTGCATTCGTTGCTTCGGAGGGATATTTACCACGTCGTTGCTTAGCAATAGTCGTCTCTTCTGGCTCTACTGTTCCGGCCTGCAGCCCTCATGTCACAATATTGTCCTATATTCGTGACTAGATACAGGTTTGGAATGTATTTGGAAAATCAGTTACGTGTCCATGTATGACCCAGTGCGGACCGTAAACAGAACATACACTTGAACGGTTCTTCCTTTGTAAACTGCGTATCCGTTGCCACAGTAATGTGTGTTTACCAGACCGTTGTCCAGCAACAGTCTCTTCCGCTTTGCCATGGTTATGTGCTCAGCGAAGGGCCGGCCACCAGAAGGTCATATTCCGGCTTTCAGGTGTCATGTCGTAATATAGTGGAAATACGAGTATTTGTTTAAAGCCAACAAACCTATTTTTTACATTCATAATCTCATGATCTCTTTTAGTTGGTCTTTAGAAAATCGTGAATGATTTGCACGTTCTCTAAGTAACTCTGTAGAGAGTGACAATTTCAGATCTCATACAGTACGGTCTTACTGCCGTGGAAAGCCGCTGAATTTATTCCACTTCCTTTGAACGCTTAGTGAATGAACTGGCGGTAAGTTTCGTATGTTCTGCACTAAAAGTGTCTCCTTTTTTCAGAGGAAAAGAAGCTGAAAGTGAGAAAGGACGACAGTTTCATGTTACGATACCTGAGGGCCAGCGATTTCAGGCCTAAAGAAGCTTTTGAAAAGGTGCGAAAGTAAATCATATTTCGAATAATTGATGGTGATGTACTGAAAGCCTGAAGGAAATGGATCTTTTGGGAAACATAGTCTTATATGGAGGTAGTAGTAAGTGGATCTTAAAGAATTAATGTAGGATTGTGTGGGCTGGATTTATTTGACTCCCGATAAGGAGTAATTTGCTGGCTGTTGTAAACACGGCAGTGAACGTTATGACTGCAAAAATTACAAAGAATTTCTCGACTAGCTTTACTGACTTCTCAAGATGGGCTTTGTTCCATGGTGTTAGTTTATTATGGAGTAGGCTTCTATTGGTATATCTTGTTTATAAAAAAAAATATTAGCTCAAACTTTGGAACCTTAAGAGACATGAACCCCCGGAGACACAAATTACTCTTAAATAATTTAAAAAATATAAATTGTACGAATGCTGCCCAGATATAATGGAGGGTTTCCAAACAACCCCACACTGATTATTTGGAAAATTCATTTGGCTCTGTAGACCTTACAACTTGGGCATAGATGGAGCTTTCAAATATTTCAAACCGTAGAAACACACAAGGCTAAGGTAAAATTAATTTAGAACTCCTTAAATGAATAGACTCATGTATCATACAAAAGAGAATTGAGATTTTAGATATTTTAATGTGTGCTGGACTGCTCGGCAGATGATGATGAATGAAGGATATCACTGATGGTTCCTATAGTAAGAAAAGAGAGACAAGCGATTATAATTAAAAGGGAATAATTACCCTTAATTTGACCTGTAAATTCTATGCTTAATCGTGAGTTAGAAATTTTATGGGCTTATCTGTTATAGGAGAGTAACAATTAAGAGGCCACGAACACGCTAGTGGCACGTGTCAAATGTCACTGGAAACCATTTTCTTGCAATGCCACGATCAAGGAATAAATAAATAAATACAGGAGCTAAACTCATTTGCAGATGGTGAAAGTCTACAAATTTAAGGCCAAACACGAGAAATATTTTTGCAGCAAATCTCCTTCGGAATACAAGGAACTTCTTTCACAAAATTTCATCACAATTCTGGAGGACAGAGATGAAACTGGACGTCGTTTAATTTTGGCCAAATTGGGTAAGCCAAACAAATTGGTCTCGCTGACACGTAGACAATGTATTTTACTTAAGCAGTCTTTAGGTAATATATACTTCTTGTATGAATAAATCTTAAATATAATTTGTTTTACTTTATCAGAATTTAGGAATTCTTCTCTACTTTATATTTCTACAAACTTTTAAGTTTTCTAAGTTAAGTTTTCTCTTCCTTGATATGAAAGTCAACAAATTATCATGATGAAATTCAGGCGCTGAATTCAATGTGTTTTCTAGGAGAATACAGATAAATTGTATCTCTAAAAGGATGACCGAGAAAATGTATTAAATACATTTTCTATTACAGAATTGCATAACTTTTATCGAATACAACTGAAATTCAACGAACATCTGTAACAGGGTTTAGACTGGAAAGAGGGACAATTGAACGTCATCATATATCAACAATACTTTTAAAACTAAACAGTTCTGTCCTACCAGGACTGATAATATGCTGATGTTCCAGTACTTGTGAATATAAGAGTGATCAGACAAGAAAGATAGCAAATAGCTTAATGGTTGTCGCTGCTGATGGTTATTAGTGCTGTGAATGTGTGTTTTATTGGACAGGTGATATCGACACCAACAAGACGTCCGTCATGGAATGCGTCAGACTGAATGACTTATGGATGGAACTGGCGATGGACGAAGAAGAGACCCAGAAGAACGGAATTGCGATCATTCTAGATCTGGGCGGTCTTCCTATGAGACTTTTTAAATTCCTGACTCCTAAAGTGACGATAATAAGTGCACTAAAGGAAGAGGTAACAGTCAACTTCAAATAGCACGCATGTGACTGGGTTTGTCATTCGTCCACTTGCTAAATCATCGGCACACAAGTGATACGACGTGCCCTGGGCAACAGAGAAATGTAGTGCATGTAGCCTAAAATTTGCTTAATTTCCATGTCGTCGCCTTCCATTCTTGTTTGTTTCTTCCATCTTCCCGAACTCCCTTCCTTTCTTGCATATTTCGTTAGTATTTTCTACGACATTGGAAGACATAATCCGGTCGTGATGCCTCATCCCACCGGCCAACGCTTTCAAACCGCTTTCAGTAAATATATAACAGAGTCATGTGTTGCGTGGGGGTACACTTACAATATTGTCCCATGTATGAGTGATTCTCTACGGGATTTTGGATTGGATTTATTGGTCACTTATACGCATAACTCATAACTACCAGTAATTATAGCGCTGTCGCTAATTTCCACACTTTACAAATCACTAGAGCACACGCCAATTTTTTCCAGGCCACAGTGTCTTCCCTTGTAATTGCTTCGTAGCGGTTCCAGCAGTGGCTGTTCCTCTGCTTCCTTGCCCAGTTCCTCTCTGAATAGCAGCTCCCTTCCAACTGAACTAAGTAAAAAGTCGAAGTCAAAGTCAACGTTATTTCACAACTCGTCTTTTACCACCAATCATTCTTGGCGCCAAGCCTCTTGAGGCTCACAGCCAGCGATTTTTTTCTGTTTAACTGAACCCTTGCGGTCATAGTCCTTATGTAACATCCTCTCTGATGAGGAGATGGGTTTGTCTGTTATGAATATGCTTGGCCTTTCGTCAAGAGTGCATATCGCAAATACAGCATGTTACTGGATAGCGTCAGAATTACTTTACGACTGGAGGTTTACCGCCAATAGGTTCGTCTTGGCGCCAAGTCCCTTGAGACTCATGATGAGTATTTTTTTTAACTGAACACTTGCTGCTATAGTCCTTATGTAACATCCTCTCTGAAGACAGAATGCATCTGTCGTTTACAATTGCTGCTGGCCTCGCCAGCGCAGCCATTCTCGGGTCCAAGTACCGCGGGACTCAAGACCATGTTTTACTGTCTCAGATACGAGACTTCCCTCAACCTGGAGGGCCAGGTCCCCGTATTTATATCTTACAGGAGCAGGGCTTATAACTCCTCGACACGGACCAACGTAGAAAACGTTTCTAGCAGCACCTCCACTGTTGCGTGTTGATTCGTTTCTGTGGAGATACTGATCAAATCTTTTTTTGAATTGTTTCTATTGACTGATCAAATCGTTTCTTTATGAACGTGTTTTCTTTACGAAGCGCGTTACCCAGTAACGGTTCTGGTATATCTGGTTATCTCGCGGTCGTTTTCTTGTAACGGCTCTACAAGCTACAATATAAAATAATCTAATCATGTTAAGGATTAAAATAATATAAATAAAGGACAATTTTTTATATATATTTGTTATATTTTGATCTGTTGAATTAGGAATTTAACTCCTATTAATTATGCACTCTTCACTTCTTACATAGGTAAAAGGTGTATAATTGAGTTTTACATGTAGAATGTAACACCCATCAACATGTGTGGCCCGTGAATCTTACCCACGCAGATGATACGGACGTCAAATCAGAATAATTCCCCATCCTTTTCCAATGGTCAATTATCTACATAAAAATAAACAAAATAATATTATGAATGTTTGTTTTAATGGTCTCGAATTTTTTTCAGTTGATAATATGCACTGCAATTCAGGAAATATCCATTTAAATCTCGTAGCAACTCGTACTGAAATTTAAAAAATGAGTATCGTAAATCTGTGTACGAAATTTGAAAATAATCTGACAATACCTTGCATAGTAACAAATTAACAAATATGTAACTTCCTGATATATAAGACGCTATATAGTTGTATATTTTCTGATTGCAGATGCGACCATGGAAGAAAATTGATATTCATGTGGTCAACACTTCCTCACTTTTGGACAAGTTAGTCAGCATCGTGTACCCTCTACTCGGCTCGGGAATAAAGCAACATGTTCGTAAAATTGGTAACTATTGTACTGAATCACCATGGACTAAGACAGAAGTAAATAATTAATCAGTCGGTGTGCAGAATGTACACAAGAGATTAATTGTTTATTTGAAAATGGGCTCGACATATAGCACGCATGAGAGATGTGAGCAGTGTGTATATAGTTTTACTTGGAAAACCTGATAGGGAAAGACAGTTTGGGAAGTCATGATTTTGTTTTTCTTTTGGAGCTACAGCCCCAATTTGGGACTTGGCCTACGTCCATGAAACTCTCCTTTTCACTTCGGTTTTACTAGATCGTAGAAATTCGATAGGACTCCTTGGGCGGGTGATCAGCCCGTCGCAAGGCCTCTACCTGTACACGAACACAGAAAAATGCACACACACAAACACTAAACATTCATGTCCTGCGTGGGATTCGAACCCATGATCCCGGCTTCCGACAGTTCATGCCTTACACTGCTCAGCTGCCGTGATTGGCTTGGGAACTCATGAATATAATATAAAAATAATAAATATGGACCTTATATATATAGCATGTGGTAATACTGAGTGGATACATCTGACTTAGGATCATCTTCAGTGGCCGGTTCTTGTGTACACAGTAATGCACTAGATCCTACGGGGTTCTGATGATGGTGTATAACACTCAGTATCACTGGGTTTTCGGACTTCGTCCAGCGTCCGCTCCAAAAACTAGCATACACAAAGTTTCGGAAACTGCGTCTGTTTCCATCCTCAGACGGGGGGGGGGCGAGGAAAGACACATATTCTGTGATATAGGATGCTAAAATGTATCACGCATTAAGCATTAATGCTTGCCCAATATTTTCTTTTTTTTTATATTTGTAATACGTACAAATATTTCAAATTCCTTAATTTGCTATCGTTTATTTGGGTTTTGCTACATGTTCTTCACAAGAGTAGCGAGTCTCGCGCTTACAGATCCATTTTCACGGGCAAGACTGGACATCGGTGCACAAGTTCATTCCACCTGAAGTCCTGCCAGAGGAGTATGGTGGTTATAAACCTCAAGTGGACTTCCCAAAAATGCACAAATATTTATACGACAATGAAGACAAGTTAATGGGTAAGGACATTTTACTGTATTTAATATACTCAGATATCACATTACATATGGAGTCATTCTATTTTAACCATGTTTTCATCCATATTCCTTATACAAATACCATTTGTACTGTAATACTAATATTGTCTCACTGTAAGTTGCAGCATAGTAATACACAGAAGAATGCCGTCTTCTGGGATGTGGCGCCGTGTAGATCCTGTGTGAACAGACGTTTCGGAGGAACGTATCGCCTCCATCTTCAGGATAGATAAATCAGCGAGCGAGGAACCAGCTTTAGCAAGTGGCTGCAGACTGAGTGACCAGTCGAAAAACACCCAACTATATAAGAACAGGAAGGTAGGGAGATTGGGAATATGGGAAATCAATAGAGAAGAGAGGGGAAGAATCTGTATAGATGGGCCAGCAGGAAGCAAGCAAGAGCCAGATTAGGATTGTGTGGGGGGTTGGGTGTTTTTCGACTGGTCACTCAGTCTGCAGCCACCTGCTCTAGCTGGTTCCTCGCTCGCCGATTTTTATACTCTGAAGATGGAGGCGATACGTTCCTCCGAAACGTCGGTATACAAAGTATCTACATGGCGCTACATCCCAGAAGACGGTATTCTTCATAGTCACCGTCGTGAAAACCTAAAATCTTACGTAGTAATATATTGTCCTACACTAAACTACACTTGCGCAGGAACTTAATGTAACAACCTTACCTTAACTTACCTAAACTGCCCTCACCCAGACTCACGTAAGCCTAACCAAAACCGATATAAATTGATATAAAATATATTTAAATAATAGGCAAATAACGATAGGAGCTGAGCGGTACGACGTTGGAATTGTTGTATTCGGGTTGTGCTCCGTTCAAATCTCGCGCAGGATACCGACTACCGTGATTCACCTCAGTCTTTACAGATATGTTCCGATATAGTACGTCGACTAGTTCACGGTCACTTCCTTCCAAATCCCTTCCAACCAATCTTTCATGTATCATCCTCTTACGCGACGCTGTATTTTCATGCTACTGAGAGCGTTGTTGAATAACAGATTAAACAGTTATTCCGAATGTGCAACTGCGCGTGAGTGCTACATTGTATAGTAAACTGATGCACATAAAGGTAAGTGAAGCTATCCCTATAACAGTCCGTGCAGGATCATAGGACTATGAGACATCGAGGCTGCCATAGTTTCTAGACAATCGGTCCACAGATGGCGGTGAGGTTGTCAGCCTTACGCGCCGGCCGCAAGAAGATTCCTGGTTGTCATTTCTGTTAGAGGTTCAGTCGACCCCAGGGCCATAGTGCGGCTGGAAGTATTAGGTCAATTGAAAAATCCAATGACCTTATTGGAAATCCAACCCGCGACCTTCCAGCTTGTAGCATATTGCCTCAACCAACTACGGTACATCGTGTCCTACTGATACATTTCTTTCTAAAATATGGTAAAATAAGTCTCGATATTTTATTTAAAATCTTATTCTTGTAGATATGTATACAATTAACCTGTCGTTCTAATTTCAGCTTTCTTTTTCAGAACTGTTCTCCTTGGGATACGTCAAATCATGAGAAGTAAAAATGGTTTAGCGACATCGACGCTCAGTCGGTATAATTGGCGCGCATCCTACAGATAATGTCTATCCGTCCAGATACTTTCCTAGCCATCATCTGTACAGGTCTGTTGTCCGACTGAAACGTTTACATTATGTTCCTACGTGATAAATTTTTAACTTCAGAAATGTAGTAAGATTTGAGGTTTTCACAGCGGCGACTATGAAGAATGCCGTCTTCTGGGATGCGGCACCGTGTAGATCTTATGTGAACCGACGTTTCGGAGGAACGTATCGCCTCCATCTTTAGGGTAGAAAAATCCACGGGCGAGGAACAAGTTTGGGCAGATGGCTGCAGTCAATTTTATACTTATGTGTTATTAATTTATTTATAAAACTACCTGATGACGGTCTGCGCGACCAAAACATGTAGTGCTTTACTTACTTACTCATGGAGCTGAGTCCTTCTGGAGGAGCTGCCGACTCTGCAGCTACTGAAGAGCTTCCCAGCATTTTATGGAACCAGAAGGTTCATTACCGTGTTCAAAGGAGCCCTCCACTGGTCTCTATCCTGAGCCAGATCAATCTAATCCACACCATCCCATCCTATCTCTCTGAGATTCATTTTAATATTGTCCACCCACCTACGCCTTGGTCTTCCCCGTGGTCTCTTTCCTTCTGGCTTTCCCACCAATATTCTATATGAATTGCTCTTCTCCCCCATTCGTGATACATGCCCTGCCCACCTCATCTTCGTATCTTACTGTAAATCCTGCAAATTAACTTAAACTGTACTGAACTACATAAATATTCAAAAGGAAGGTGCAAAGATCTTACTATCAAACTGCAAACTCACGAAATGCCCTTCCCACCTCATTCTCCTGAACTTGATCATTCTAATTATACTTGGAGAAGAGTACAAGCTATTAAGCTATGAACCTCCTGTAACTTCATCTCTCTCCGGTCCAAATATTCTCCTTAACACCCTGTTCTCAAACACCCTTAGAAACATGTAGTGCTTAGACAATAAAATTGATTAAACCATTATGCTGTATGTATTTTAATTAATTTTATTAAAATTTGAATTAATTCACTTCCTTGTTGACAGCAAAAATATCTCGTTGATATAAACCAATAGGATGCAAAAAATAAAAATAAATTTGTCTTGTGCTTCAAGGAAGAGCAGAAACCTCTCTCAGGAGAGCCAGTTTTCTAAAGTAGAATCGATCCTGGTACATAAGGAAACAGGAATATTAAGAGTTGAGTCGGGAGATTATTACTGCACGAGGTCCAGCCGCTGATATTAGCAAGTTCTGATGGACCCAACTCAGAGCGGCACATTCCTCTCTTCTTTCCTGAGGACGGAAGCAGGCGCAGTTTGCGAAACGTTATGATTTGTATGGCACACCAGACAAAGGATAAAATTCAGATATCCGGCAAAAGGAAGCGGAACTGAGGCTCGTCGAAAATGTGAACGGAATGAAACACGAAAGCACTGAAACCTGCTAATGTCCACATCAGGAACATTAATGAGCCTAATTTTCATACCAATGCTACTTCATATTCCTATCTTTCGCGAACGAAGAAAGAAAATGCGACCAAAGAAGTTCTAACGTGCTTCTTCATGTGTCCCGCATTTTGTTGTGGACAAATTGGAAATGAAACCAAAATAATTATTATTCTTGTTGAATAATTTGGTTATGTCTTAGTTTACAAAATAATTTTATGAATCTATTGTTTTTAGCGCCCATCACAGTGGCCGCGCGATCTAAGACATGAAATGTTTTCGCAAGCTTGAATGTTGGGATCGTGGGTTTGAATCTCACTTAAGGCATGAATGTTTGTGTGTGCGTTAATTCTGTGTTTGTGATGTCCCTTGTAGGTAGCGGCCTTGCGACGGGCTGATCACTTGTCAAAGGAGTCCTATCAACTGTGTAAGATTAAGAACTGAAGTGAAACGAAGCGTTTCACGGATATCCTAGGATCTAAGAGGGAGCAACAGGAATAGATAGATTGTGTGTCGTATTTTTCACGACAATGAATCTTTGGATTTTAAGAATCTCGACGGATATCTTGATTATCTTAACGACTATTCTCTCTCCATTTGTAGTCATGGTAGCCAAAGTATTCACTGAATAATACACATTATAATGGTAAGTCATTAATATACACGATTGTTTAACTGGAAGTCGTTGCATATATGAATATGCTAGTAAAACCTATATACCGGTATATATGTCTCCTGTTACTTTTATCAGTAAGAAACTGACGAGTGCATTTGCAATGACATTTTCACATCTATAATATTAAGAAACTAATTTACCCAGTGTAACGTAAGCCGTTCTATCAGATCTTCAAGGTTATTAATTACATATCGACAACTGTTTATATATCCATAGATATTTATTTCATTTGACGCATTTATTTACGTATATAACTCAGCAAATGGTTTACGAGTAATTTGATGCACAACTTTGTTCAATCCTTGCATTACTTCAGCCATACGGCCTTGGCATGAGTGGAATTCATGTTACCAAAATGGCGACAGGACGCCACCCAACAACATGGTTGCCTGTGTGTGGCAGCTAAGTATAATATGGCCTAAGGAATCTCCATTAGGCAAACCTCTTTACTAGAAATAGCACCACCTAGCAACCATTACAATACTGACAGAATCGTAAAACAAACACAAGAAGCATAAAATATATGGTAATAGCCAAAAGCTGGTATTGCAGATATGATTAGACGAACAGTAGCGACCAAAACTCGATCAAATTTCGAACTGGCGTGTCGTGACCGAATAGTGTAATAGCCATCACAGTTCCTCTCTCTCTCTCTATCTCTGAAGGTCACAGCATAGAGGGCATTTCCTTCTCCAGGATATTTTTTGGAGTAACTGACACGAAGAAAAGCGGAAAGTACGTGCAAAAATCAGATTTGTACGTGAATGTTATCTGCAAAGCTGGGATCTCGGGAAACGTGATGACGCAGATACTCTTGTAACGCTGTCGAAAGAAACGTAGTGTTTGTTTACTGGTTTCCCATTTTCAAGCACGGACTTATTGCAAGACTGTGTTAAAAAGTAGGTTCGACAGCCTACAGACGTGTTGGCATTTAGGTCTTGAATCTCGTCGCCCTGTTTCTTAATTCTTCTATCTCAATTTTTTTTTGAGCTTATAGATGCATATAGTTCTTCTGTACATAAGGGATATAATATCCATAAAAAATGAATAAAATTGCAACAGAGATCAGAAACAAACAGTTCAATTTTGCTTTACCTCCTGCGTTCAACTATTCACATTTAGAACTTTCATTCTCTTTTCTCTGTTTCAAAGAGTGTGGAGACAGAACGACACGTAAAACAAAGTCATGAAAGATATACAGGTTCTATCTAGATGAACATGTAAAAGACGATCGGCCTTATAAAAATTAATTCACAGAACGTCGTGGTCCATTAATCACTATTTATACTTTACATTCTGGAGGCCCAGGATTCAAACCTCAGTCCTGAGATCGGTTGCCCTGACTGAAGTTCTCTCGTGTTTTTGTACAATCCCTCCAGGCAAATGTCGGGATGGTACATCAAATTAGGACACAACGGCCTTATTTCACGTCCTTAATTTATTATTCATAATACTGTTGCGTGTAGACCAGTTGCTGGGTAATGGTCACGAAGTGAGGTCCGTTGTCGGGCAGCGGATTCTTTATAAACAGTGTTACGCAATCCGTTTCTGGGCAACGGCTCGGTAAACACATACCCGTGGCAAAGGACACGAACTCAAGAATAGAAGATTACCGTTTTCTATGTGGTCCAGTTGAAAATGAACCTGTTATGCCTTGCATTTTGAGCTTCATAAGACGGAGAAGACGAAAATTGCTGTCATCTGGGTTACGTAACCACGTAACCTGATGGAGGGGTACTAGACTTCCAAGCGGTCCTGCTGCCTCCATCGACATGTAAGTAACTTTCTGTCAGGCTTCATGATGTCAAATCTCAGAAGAGAATAATATTTCATGTTGCTAGAAAATAAAATCTCACGAAGCAACATAAAACTACATAACACATTCTACATAACAAATTTAATTACATTATTTCCTGTAGCGCCAGTTTCGGAACACCGTCTTACGCGAGGGAACTGAATAGTTCTTCGACCTGATTTCCGGTTCTTGCTCGTATCGCTTCAATTGTTACGGGAACTGCGGTTTCTATGCCTCTGGTACTTCGGCCCCTCACGGAGCACGGCAGTTACCACAGGGAGACGCGGAACGCCAACTGTTGAGCCACTTAGTGTGTCCACCTTCATGGAACGCATCCTCTGACTAGCAACCGACGTCTTTACGAGGGAGAGTCAGTAAACAGGTCACAAATTGATGTAAAACATAAAACGTGATATTCGAACCGGGAAAAAACATTTATTTCTCGACTTATTCTCCACCAGCATTGATACACTTGTCCCATTGCTTTACCGGTACGTCGAAATCAGGAGCATAGAAGTCTTTTGAGTGTTGTCTGAGCCACTTTTGCACCTCCGTTTCAACCTCTTCGTCATCAGCGAAACGTTTGTCACCAAGGCGGAACAGCTTTACGCGACAAACACTTCCCAACACTGTAGGAAATAGTTATCTATAAATATCATTTGCATTGAGTCCTTTTACCAACATAAAAGAACAAAACCGATCGCTGTTATTCGGTAGTGCAATCCTCAAGCAGGGTAGCCATTCTGACTACTGAAACCAGCCTCTGAACATGAGCATGCGTGTCTACTACCGAAATTGTCATAAAGCTGGGCTGTGCTGCTATCTAGTTATCACTCAGTCACTCACTCATTGAGCTGATCCCTTCCTGAGAGGCAGACAATTGTGCAGCCATCCAAGAGCTTTCCAGCATTTTATGGAACCCGAAGATTCTTTACCTTGTTAACAAGAGCCATCCACTCGTCCCTGTCCTGAGACACATCACCCCAATCCATACCATCCCATTTTATCTCTCTAAGATCCATTTTAATATTGTCCACTCACCTTTGCCTTGGTCTTCCTAGTGGTCCCTTTGCTTCTGGATTTCCACTAATATCCTATATGCATTTATCTTCTCCATATTCGTGCTACATGCCCTGCCCATCTCATCCTCCTTGACTTGATCATTCTAATTTTACTTGGAGAAGAGTACAAGCTATGAAGCTCCTCATTATGCAGTTTTATCCTACCTCATGTCACTTCATCTCTCTTCAGTCCAAATATTCTCTTCAACGATATATTCTCAAGCACCCTGTCCTCAAACACACTCAATCTATGTTCCTCCCCTAATGTCAGAGTCCAAGTTTCACACTCATACAGAACCGCAGGCAAAACTGTGGTTTTCTATATTCTAATTTTAATGTTTTTAGACAGCAGACGAGAAGACAAAATGATCTGAGTTGAATGGTAGCAAGCGCTACCAGAGTTCGATCTTCTCTTAA